GAATTTCTCCATTTCATAAAGGTTTTGTGGCGTGTGTGTGTATGTGTATATGTTTATAAAAAAGGGGTAGAAATGAGGATTCATTTAGGTTATATTTTCTTAGTCTTCAATATTTGCTGTTTTAAACTCATAATTCAAAATGGAATCCTACTTAGCTACAAAGTCCACTCTATCTGCAGCTGCATCTGGTTTTGCTGGAATCTCACAAAAATTGTATGAACTCTCCACTCTGATGCTTGCCAACCACTATCCTCTTCCTTTTTTTTTTAAATGTGGACGGTAGTCTGTCATTTACTTCATTAACCTTTATGTTACAAACCATGTTTGAAGTCAGAAGATGCAAAGAAATTACATTCAATTATAACTATACTATAATCTTGGAAAATTATGTAACTATATCTTCAATCCCTTTAAAAAAATATGTATTTTTGCTTTAAAGCATACCTGCTTTGAGCTGAGTTTGCAGCAGCTTGCATCACTGCAGCTGCGGCCTCCTGTGCCTTACGGTTCACAGTTGGCATTGGGGGGCCCATTCCGGGTCCTCCTTGCGGAGCCATGCCAGGAGAATTGGGTGTCATACTGCTCATGTTTCCCGGAAATGGTCTGCTCTGCATCCCCGTTGATGGCATCCGTCCCAGGGGCATGGTCCCACATGGCTGGCTTGGCCCTTGTCCATGCATCTGGCTATTGGCATTGATACCCATGCCAGGACCTGGGCCACTGTAGCTTGCACTGGGCACCCCACTATATGTTGGAGGTCTGGAGTAGTTACCTAAACAAAAAGCAAACAGAAATTTGATCTTACAATTTTTGAAAACATTCATTGGGAAAGCCGAAATCTAACAATATGGAGAATACAGGACATTTAATTATTACCCTTATCAAGTGTTTCTTCATTTGGCCTCATCCAAGACACTAGCCATAAACGTTATCTACCTAAGTCCTAGTGGCCTTAACCATAAAATCAGATGAAAAAGCACCAAATGTAATTACTGCAACCTTCAAGAAAAATTCAAGTTAAACATTTAAGGGATACCAGTGTTTTGTGTGGTTTTAAAACATCAGATTCCTTATGTCTTCTCTTTTCCTTCTTTTCCTTAATTTAGAACTTCCTGTCTTCGCTTAAACGGTAGAGCCACAACTAAGAAGGGACCTCAAGGGCTCATCCCTGAGGTGCCAACATGGAGGAGGAAGGAAGATGTGTGTTTCCTCTTTTGCAGCAGGACTCTATTCCTCCAATGGCCCCAGTTCCTAATGTCTCTTGCTCCTCTCTCAGTGGGCTCATTTGCCCCTTTTTACCTCTCTTCCCCTGGGTCAAGGACACTGTTAAATCTGTAGGATGAACCACTCAATCTTTGGTAATTCTGATTGGACTATCTAAGGTGCTACCATGCCTCTTGTACTCTCCCCACCCCCAATCAGAGGACATGGGACTACTATGGGTCTGTCCTCTGTGTTGCCACATTCCCCCATGACTTTCTCTGCTTCCCTCAATACTGTCCTGCGTGGCCTGTCTTCCATCTTTCCACGTAAAAAAAATTCTTAATGACAGCTCTATTAATTTAAGCATATCTGATTTAAATTAATTTTGGAGAAAATAATTTCAGGAATATAATTTTGTGATGTTCAGAGATACTATTTTACATCATGGTTAATATTTTTCCTTTTCTATGTGAATGCCAACTACCATATGTTATTTCAGAAATTACCCAATTAAGACAACAAAATTTGAAGCATACATATGCCTGTATATATTGGGGACCCATGTGAATACAAAGTTCTATAGAAATGTCTGATCATTATCAATTATTTACAGTAACTAATCATCTATTTACCAATCTCACCTGTCACTTACAAGAACCAGAGAATAAGAAAAAATAGCCCAGCTGCATGACCAACTCCACAAACTAAAGAAAGCACAAACACTTGATGTGCAGGAGGGCTTCTCAACCAGGGTCTCTGTTCTACACATGAATCTAAGAAGCTAAGATTTCTGAATTTCAACTTCACACAAATCAATCAGAAATAAAAATTAGAAGAGGAGAAGGAAAGAGTCTCTAATGACCCCCACTTTCATCAATGAGAGATGGCATCTGACAGACTTGGAGGGAAGAGAAAACTACCTAAGAAGTACAGTAATCGAGTGCCATTTAGTTCACTGGCAAATAGCCTTATGCCCCTTAAGAGTCCCTGAGAAAATGGCTTAGTAACAATGTAGTACAATAACAGACACATTAAAAAACAACCCTGTGTCATTAAGAAAAGGTTAAACGTTACATTCAGCATACTTTTGCTTTAAGGCTGCACGGATGACTGTGACATGTTTAGAAAGACTATCATACAAATGGCAATTAAAGAACATCTATCTATTTTGGTACTTTAAACAGTAAATCTTCAGGTGTCTAGAAAACCTGGACATCCAGAACCATTCCATTCCCAGAAAGAGCTGGATAGTTGAGTTTTATATTTTACAGTGAAAGACAAATGTATTTCTCTGGATGCTCAACTGGGAAAATAACACCACAAAATAGTGGGGTTTCTAGTCCCTGAAAATCTAATTGAGCTTTCAGCAATATGTGCCCGAGACTCAGCATCCCATCCTTTATTTCTGAAGGCTACCTCACAGTACAAACTCTGGCAGATCCTACTAAGCTGGAATGGTTGCCATATGGGGCCAGCATGGCCTGTATGGCTGTCATGTGAGGATTAGACTAACTTAATTTGGAGAAACTTAGCACCAGTATATATGCAACACCTCTAAAACAGCAGATCCTTGAAGAAGTTCCTACAGGAGAATGAATCCTCTTTAATCCATAATATGGCTAAAATATTTTACATTTGCAAGGAAAAAATAGTATGAAACAAAAACATTACAAATGAATACAATTTCAGCTACATTTGTGGGGTCAACTGATTTCTTTCTATCTACCAAGAAACCTGTGGTGATGGGAAAAATGTATCTCAAAGTCCAAGTCCTACACTTAGAAGCAAACTTTTGGAACATAATATTTTTTATACTGGCAGTTTTATGAACTGGTATTAAAATTATGTACAAAACTATTCACCAACCTCATCTCTTACTAGCCAGTTACATTACATGGAATAACTGTGAAACGGCAGAGGAAGAAGCTCTATTTCTGTCCTAATGTTTTTAGAGCAAGAAATGCACCACCTTGCTGGTGGAAATTTGAAGGGAAAATTTAAAAACCTATTTACAGGAACGGGCAATGAGGAATGGATTCAGTAACAGGGTTTGGCTATATACAGAGGCCATGTGAAAGTTGATGGACCTTGGTGGGCAGTATATGCTGCTTCAGAAGACGTGTGTTTGATGAGAAAAACAAAACAAAAATGGCCACAATAAAAGTCTTTGCTACTTGATTGTTAAGGCTGCTCTCTAATGTAGAAGGAGATAATTCCAAATATTTCCTCATTTAATATTGACAATAATTTGGTCAAAAAATAATGGGTAACTCAATCAAGAAATCATTTTGAATAAAAACAGAAATCGTATATATCAAAAGGTTAAGGAAAAGAAGAAGGAAACCTTATTGATGTTCTGGCCTTTAAGATTAGATTGTAAGCTCCCTGAGGGCAGGGGTTTTTACATCTTTTTTGTATCCCCAGTGCTTAGCACAGTGTCTGGTCCATAGTAGATGCTTAATAAATGTGTACTGATTACTGACTGACTAATTAAGATGATACTATTCATAAAGCAACTGCTTTGAATGACCCTTTAAAAAATAATGGTACTAAGGGGCCGGTAGGTGGCACAGTGGATAGAGCACGGGCTCTGGAGTCAGGAGGACCTCAGTTCAAATCGGGCCTCAAACACCTCACACTCACTAGCTGTGTGACTCTGGGCAAGTCACTTAATCCCAAATGCTGCACCAAACAAACAAACAAACAAACAAACAAAAAAAGGCACTGAACATAAACTACACAAATTAATTAAACACTATGCATAAGACTCTGAAGCAGTCATTTAGAAAACAAGACAATAATAAATGATAATAATAGTAACAATACTAATCACTAGCAATAATATTTTAGGTTTACAAAGCCCTTCATCAATATTTCAGCATTTGATCCTCACAGCATTGCATGGAAGTAAGTGCTCTATCCACTGTACTACCTGGCTGCTTCTACTTTTGCTCTGGAGCAGCTTACATTTTCCCATGAGTAAGAAATACAACATGTACACTAATGAAATAAATACAAGGCAGTGCACTAACACACTAATAACTGAGAACACCAGGAAAGGCTTTGAGATGGTTGGATGGTACCTGATCTGAGCACTGAAGGAAGCCAGGGATCCTAAGAAGCTGAGGGAAGGGGGAATGCCAGAATGGGCATAGTGTTGGACCTGAAGTCAGAAAGATCTGAGTTCAAGTGTGGCCTCAGACTGTAGGTGTGTGATCGTGAGCAGGTCACTCAACCTCTGATGGTCTCAATTTCCTCAGTAGTAAAATAGAGGCATTATAATAGCAGCTACCAACTAGGGTTGTTGTGATGATAAAATGAGACAATATATATAATACTTTGTGCAAGCCTTCAAGTACTATGTGGACACTAGTTATTGTTAATGCTATAATTAGGAGGGGTCTATGATAGATAAGGCAGGGACATGGAAAGGGGAATGCTGACTTTGGGGAACAAGGAGTGGGGCGGTGTGCCTGGAATACAGAGCATGCACAGGAGCCGTCCGGTTTCCTCTATGACCAATGCTACATATCTTGAGATACCTGGCCTGACCTGAGCTATGATAAAAGCAAAACTAATGGGTTCTTAACCATGAATCTAACAATAACTCCATGCTCACCAACTAAGTCAGCCAGCCAGATTGACTTGGGAACGTCTAGGGATTTATGGACTTGGGGTTTATAATTCTGAATATATGTTGCACATATAAATAAAAACCTATTATGAATTCCATTGCTTTTTTTGGTGCCTATGAACCCCCCCCTTCCCTCATCCCTTTGGCTATTGTTACTCATAGATACTAAACCTTGTTCATATTCTTCCTTGTTAGAAGAGATTCCTGAAGGTGTCAAAAAAAAGGAGTTAAAGACAATGTATGTGTGTAAATACATGTATATATGTGTGTGTGTGTGTGTATGTGTGTACATGTATACGTATACACATATATACATATTTCTTCTCCCTTCTATTATCAGAATAATAAAGAGTATTTAAAAAGCAAGAGTTTGGAGAGAAAACAGGCCTATGGGAAGGAATAGTTACCACCCACAACCAGTGATGTGGCAAGATCATATTTCTATAAATTCAGATCTATTCCTGCTTTCTGGGACAGCAGGAAAGATGGAGAGAAAGTATGTATAGTAAGACACATATAAGTCAGTCAGAAACCTTATTTAGTTTGGCTTAATCACTGAGGGATTGTTAGGTCTTCTTGTCCTTCCTAAGGGTCCCTTTTACTCACATGGAACACCGGCTGGATTAAAAGCATTACTTCTTCTCTGCCCAGGACTCAATAAACATTAATCATAGTACTTGGAAAAAAAAATTGAAACAGGACAGTGATTCCCATCGCCAAGGCTAGTCATCTAATCAAAAGGAACAACTGAGCAGCTTCATTAAAACAAAGATAAAGCCCTAACACTGTTCATGTGTGTGTGCACAGGTATGAATACTGAAAAACTATGCAAAAGGGAGAAACACAAACATATACGCATGTATACTCACAGCCATCCACCCATCCACCCATCCAACTATCCATCTATCTGACATCTGCTTGTTCTGAAAATTGAG